CTCGAAATTTGTTGATATCAATGAATTCTGCTGTTTTTGCCTGTTTTCAACAATTGTAGACGACTACTCAGCTGTTTTCAAGTAATACACTCACACTCAGTTCACACGAGCCAGCAGTGTAACTGAGATTCCAAAGAAGTCATTGACACGATTGTAGACGACTACTCGCTTGTTTTATGTGACACTCAGTTCACACGAGCCAGCAGTGTAACTGAGCAAAAAGAGCAGACAGTAAAAAAACTCCTAAGGCTGGCTCATAATTCAAAATGGAATGTCATTTGTGGTTTTTAGGAGAAAAACTGTCGCTCGTATGGGAAAAGTATGTGAATGTGAATGATAGGAGCATGATGCTTCTGTGAGTGTTGGCGGCAATATCGACATCCGAAGGACCATGCGAGGAGGAGACCTCGGAGTCACGAGAACGTCCTGAAGAACCAGAGATGCGTCCATGATACGCCTTTGCTGTGAGAGCAGAGGTTTGTTTGTATGCTTGTGTTTAGGAAGTTGGTTTAAAATAATCGTCTCATGTGATCCTTTGATCTACGAGCCGTCACGAAATCAAGTGAAGCAGGAGAAATAAGCGATTCAAATCGGCCTCGCAGGCTGGCTTGGCACACTTCTTCTGTAGTTATATCTACCTTGTTAAAGCTGCACTTTCGGCAAAGTAATACGGAAAGTAGTACGATCCGTTTATCCATGTCTTCGCCAGCAATGCTACCTCCCTAAACTACTAGCCGTTGCGCAGCTACCAGCGGAGCTCGAGAAAGAGCTCCTAGGCAAAGCGAGACAAATGAGCTGCCCTCGCGATCGGCGAACGTTCATCAACGAGCGTGTATCCATTCTTAGTAAAGAAAATATTTAGTACACAGTACTCAAGTTTATCTGTCATTACGAGGTTAAAGAGAAAATACAAGGTGTAAGTTATTCTAGGAAAGTAATTGTTTCCACTGTCATTTTCGTGTACACTACGGAGGACGACTACTGTCAGTTATTATTATTACGAAAGAAGTTAACTGCTGTGGCGGAAGAGCGTGCTTTACCAGGAAAGAACATTAATATAAGTCAGAAATTTTTTAACGATATCTCTTGAGAAAAGATAAAATTTCGTTTTGCCTACTATTGCAAATATGAAAAATCGCATTATTTTCGGGAAACGAATGACGGATTCAGTTTAAAGTCTTATTTTTCCCCTAAATTTCGGGGAAGTCAAAAAATCGGTCAAACTTTCCATTTTTCATCTTGACTCAGCCTTCGAAAAAGGCAAATTACGCAGACATTTGACGTCGAACTATCTAATAAAAACGCTTTTTCTAGAGAGAACTTGTTGTAGAATGTTTTTACTCGATAATAGGCATACTAATTTGGGACTTTTTTTGTAGAAGTTCATTTTTCTCGGCAATGAGTTGACATGTTTGGATGATTCTAAAACCATGACTTAAAAAGGCAGCTGCATAACAAAGAATGTAAAAAATGCACGCTTTGGGTATATGTATTTCTGGCGATTTTCGTAGAAACGTAGAAGAGACTGCATGTCTGTGGAAAATCGACTGAAAACATTGAAAATCATAAGGTGCTCACCACTATTTAAAGAATGATCCGAGTCTTTTCGTAATCGAGCATCCGAAATAAGTACAAAGAAATGTGAAGGAAGGAAATTTCTCTTAATATACACAAAATGGTACATTTAAAATTGCACCTGACAATTCCATTGAAATGTATTATTCCCTAACCGGAATGTCCACATGTAAACATGACGGTTTAGGGTCACCAACTCCGCTATTCACGACTACCAGTCGATTTTCTCCGAAGAATCTTTTCCATCTCCAGAATGTATATCAACTTACATATGCTCCATATGCACGCTAAATTCGAAAAAAATCGACTACTTCCATTTGCTTTTACTTTTCCCCGAAAACTATCCGTACAGAGTATAAGTAGATACGTTTATTCATGTATGTCTCACCTAAGTTCCTTGCAGCCAGGAAGCGCCGACTTCTTTTGTTTGACAGAGGTCATGGATGCGAGTTTTCTCCCATACAAATGTGTATGGCGTTTCCGGTGTGCGCACAGCTAGCTGAGATGTACGGTCCTTTACCCTCACCGCTATCTGGTGTTCATGTATATGTGAATTTCCTGACTTACTAACAACCGCTTACATCACCACTGCAAAATGAGACCCTATGTACATTTTCTTTTTTTTCGACCGGGTCAGTTCTGTCCTTAGGGTGAGCAAGCTGCGTGCGCAAATTAGTTGTTGCTGTAAGGCATATGATTTTTTTTCAAAAAAGTCCAGATTCATGTTTCATGTAAAATAGACGAAACATATCGGTACATGCATATAGAATTCAGAATTACAGCTGGAAATAAGTGCAGATATCCCCCGACTAGGTAGAAATGGGTAGCTCTTGGCAGATTCTTGTATTAAGCATGAGCCGAAAATTGCCTGTTCACGTATGTCACCCATACATCTGAATATAATATATAAAAGCATTTAAAAAAGCTGCATTATAAACTACGTTTTCTTCTGGATAAACATGAACCCGTTGTTAATGTCTAGAGGTGCATACTTTTAATGTTGAAATACAGGCATCCTGAGTAACTTAAGTAGAATTCAGTCAAGTTGATCGGGGACAAAAAAGCCCATTGTATAAATATTTAAAAATGCTTCATCCTTCGTTGATGAAAGTTCAGCGATCGTTAACGGAACACCCTCGTCCCGCTCTGTCTTGGGTCTCATTTCTCGGGCCCTGACAGCAACCGCACAGCCTCGGATGGTGCACCACTTGGGGTCGGGTATGACTGGCTGACGACCGCCATTCCAGTATCACTTCTCTTTGTCGGTAATACCTAATTCTTCATCGTTTATTCTAGTTTTTTTATTATGGGGAACCTCGTCTAATAACGCAAAGTCTTAATTTGGTTTATACACGTTTAAAATACGGCCACATGCACGCATAGTTTTAATTTTCTGAAAAGCAAATAAAAATATACTTGGCATATGCCCGAGATGAGTAACTTACTGATCTGACTAGACAGTTATGGCTGGTGAGGTCGCGGTGAACGACGCCCTGTGCGTGAAGGTAGCTCTGTACAATGGGTCAAAAGAAACAATTCAATTGTCGGGAGTTGAGAAAGGGATACTGGAGAGCATAAATGACTATGAAAAATCATCCATTGAACGTGGAAAGAATTCTGCAAATATTCTCATGCTTTATTAGAAAAGCCCATTTGGCAAACGTATGTTTTCAGCAACTCTTCATCAGGCCAGAACATTTGGAAGAATAATGAAAATTGTACACTTATTAACCCTGTGTAACTGTACAATTTTCATTATCCTTGCAAATTTTATGGCCTGATGAAGAGTTGCTGAAACCATTTGTTTGTCAAATCAACTTTTCATATTCAGAATTCTGGTTTCATTGGTCAGATAGCACTTTGAAAAAGTTAGGTAACACAGAGCATGCTACCGACACGCTTCCTAAAAGAGAGAACGTATTTCAACATTTTGCCCACAAAAGTCACTAATACCACGTCGATATTCTGTGGGCTGTGTCGGGTAGCTAATTTATTCTGATTTTATCGAGGCTGGGGATTCACTTCAGTAAATATAAAATTGAAAATAATTTGAGAAAAAAGTGCTCTGGTACAGGTTCTGATCCAACTAACAGTAAGTCCTACAATCAATAATAAATTGAGCAACTAGCATCAAGGTTACGCAGACATCTCCGAGTCTAGAGTACAGGTGAGTTAAAAGGAATATCCCAAATAAACATGTGCAATTTTAAGGGCACATACAGCTCAGCAAAATGGCTTCAAGATACAGGAACTATGATTTGATCAAGCAACCCCTTAGGTACCATCCGCCCATTGGGAGACAGTTTACATTACGGAGCATTCTTAAAGTAACGTATCAGATGCTACGAATATATCACTTCAGACATAGATCGTAAACTCAACGCTTCTACAAAATTAACGTCAACAGTCAGAAAAATAATACGTACAGTCTGTGTGCTTATGAAATACAACAAGCAGGAAATACAATATGACATTGATAATCACTTGCTAAAGTTGGTTCTAAAATGTCATATATTTGTTCAGGAAATGGTTTAGTGGATCGAAGTAACGACAAAGATCGTGCAGACTGAAATGTACATTTAACGTATACGCGTCGAAAAATATTACCATTGCTGATGCGATATCTGTTGCAAAGGAGATTCTGGTTTGCCAACTAATAAACCGATGTGGACGATCAAGTAGGTATTCCTGTAGAGAGCCAGCACAGACAAACTCGGTCACAAGCCACAACTGGTGATCCATAACCAGTACACCAAAACTGTAAAGGAGATTTGGGTGTTTCAATTTCTGAAGAAGAGAAACCTAAAGACAAAAAGAAAAATTAGGCAAATCTTTCAAATGACGTCATAGAAAGCACAATAAAGGACACTTACCTCTTTCAAGAGCGAGGTTTCGCAATCTTCGGCATTACGTAAAACACCCTTGATAACCAAATCTTCCTCAAAGTTTTTGTGGTGTACCTGAGATAATAATAGAGTAAAGATGAACATTCTTGAAGTCTGTGATTGTGTAAACTATTGAATGAGACGGATTTTCAAGTTCACTAAGTGTTGCACAAGTTTAAATTATGTCCAACGCAGGACACCATTTTAAGCTTTAATACGAATAACTCACTTGGCCTCCAAATTTTAACAGATATGTTATGTTGGACACATTTATCTCTCAAATATGGCCCTCACAAACAATATCTTTTTTGCTATATGAACAGATGCATGTAGCGCCAACCGACGACCTGATGTGCGAAATAAAGTCTGCTATTAATGGTTATTTATTATTATTAATTATTAACTAGAAGTATTTATGATTCGCTTCTCAATGCTCCTCACAAAGGAGTGTTAAGTAGCTTTTGAACTAAATACCTTAGAAAGCATATCATGTACACCTCCAGCTGACATGCACATACCAGTGACATGTCACGACCAAATTCTAACAGCAGCTATATGATCTTTGGAAGTCTGAAGTCGCTTACTAAGTACTATGTATACTGCGCACAAATTGAAGATTACGAAACTTCCGCATGCGGGTGCATTTCGGAATGCGATAACAGGAATTT